CCCTATGTAATTTGAAAAATTGAATTATCAGCAAATTTTAAATAATCAACTTATATATAACAGAAAAAACTGTATTATAAAGTTTTATAACACACCCATTTTCCCCTTTATTTATAATTTCAACTTCAAAATAAAATAATCCACATTTTTCAGGAATTGGAAAATTTGCTTGAATTGCAGCATAGTTTTTTTCTCCACCCAGACCTTTATATTAAAAATAATTGTGGTTATGTGATTCTATACGGAAACAGTACAATTGTTATATAACGTGAAATGTAAAATTCACCTGTATAAGTCACTATAAATTTGTCTGAATCTATTTTTAATGCGGTTGGTGATTCCATATTGTTGTGTAATCCTATTAGCAAGAATGATAATAGAGTTTGTATAACATATGCTTTTTACCTTCTTATGTAGAAGTTATATGCTGTGAATTTAATTTACAATTTTATTTTATTTTATTTATTTTTTTTAAAAAAAAATAATAAATAAAAAATTATTATTGGACTTAAAAACAAATGGCTCTATTATAATATTGTTGAGAAAATTTTCGAAAAATCCTTATAAAAATTAAGAGTTGTTAAATTCTTATATTTCTATTATATTTCCTTCATAACTCGAAATTTAGTAAATAAACATATAATTAACGAATTTGTTAAAGGTTCTTTAAAAAAAATAAAACTTTTTTTAAACCCAAAAAATTATTTAGTATAATGATGGGTGATACATATTGTCAAGAAATGAAGATCTTACCACAGTATTTCAATTAAATGCTACGGTAAATATTAAATTTTATCATACAAGTTTGAGTGTAGAAACTTAATACATGGGAAAACATCAAATTTACTTTATATGCCGAAATATGTTCAAATTTAGCATTAATTAATTTTTTATTTTTTCCGGCAGTTTCCCCCGCAAAGGCCCCCCCATATAATAAGATTCGTACAAGATTTATATTATTGATTATATACTGAAAAAAATTTTTTTAATCTAATTGGTTAATTTTAATTTATATAATTGCTTCCAATAATAACCTAATGATAATTATAGTGTTTTCACTGACATCAAAAAATGTCACGAAAATTCACGTGATATTTTTGCATCACCGATGCGATGTCACACTTCCGATGTTTCTGCTGGGCTATTCATCAATCACATGTGCGCCACAATTAATTTCAGTCGAATGTCATAATGCAATGCCTGCCATAACTGTGCCTTGTGGATTGTATGTAATTGATTCCAACTATCGAAGATCGAATAAAAAAAAATCGAAACTTATTTATTTTTTTTTTTTTATTAGAAAAAAAATTTTTTTTTATTGTTGACGATCCCCAATAATAATGCAAAATCTCTATTAATATCATTGAGATCATAACAGGGAATATAGAAGCCAGGGAGGAGGAAACCAGGTACGTACCGCACTGGTCATGTCTGTTTTTTTTATTTCATTTCGTTTCGTATCATGTACCTAGACTTATATTTTATTTGTAACAATAAACGTATTTTATGACTCAAAGAATAACCCTAATGGCCCTGCAGACTTGGTCTGTGCCACAATGCATTATAAAAAATTTCGGTCAGAAAAAATTTATTTTTGAAACATACATTTGCCTAATGAAAAAATTTATAATAATGACGGTTAAGCAGGCGAAAACTTTATTTATTCTCGTTATAAAATTTAATAAAAAAAATATTAATGCAATAATAATTTAACAGGGGATCTTTTTTCGTCATTAATTGTTACAAATGAAATTTTAGGAAAACCTTAATACTATACTTTGTAATTCCCATAAATCCAAGTAAAATCCATTAATTGTTTTGTTCCAGCTAAGAGAACCATTAAAAAGTTCAATGGCAGGAATATGCAATTGATAATTTGGAATAAATACTAGGAGCATTGCAAGCAGTTGTTGAGAACCTGAAGCCAGTAATGTTAGCAAGTAGAATACCAACAGAATTTGTAAGAAAATCTATTGTATTATAATGGAGAGGTGCAGTGCCAATGATATCTGGCACTGTATTATTTTGATTTGTACGTAGGTAACATAGTGCAAGCATTACCATTATACTATCCTGATGCTTGGAAAATAATTTGATCGCAATATAAATTTGAATGGTTGTTCATGAAGAAAAATAACCTGTCAAAAGACCATGCAAGCTAGGAATAGTCTCAATTCTTCCAACCCCAACAACTAATATTAGGTATGCATTCCCTGCGAATTAGATTCCTGGCCAGCGGGAGCTTTAGAAAGACCTTTTGTTCAGATGGTAAGATCAGCAGTATAATAACTATTCAGTCCCACAATAAGATCCTCTACACTTGCGCCAACTAATTGATTATTTCAGGAATGTATCAAGACTGCAATTTTGCCTGCTATCACTCCATGGTACTTTATAAGCTATAATTTTCTATCGATCAAATGAATGCTATCAGATTCGCGATGCTTGATGTAGGATTTAAGTGACACATTTTCCTTGATAATTATTGGCTTTATATTCTTGTTCGCATCCATTTTTTCCTCTTGAGATGCAAGTAAGATATCTCTAGCTTGATTAAGATGATCTTTTCTTAACTGAAGTATAGTCGATTGCATATTGTGACAGCAACTAGTTCAGGCAAGATATAAAAGAGAACATTTTAGAGATTATATTTTCTTTTTCTTTTTTTAATTAAGATTAAAAAATGGATAGAAAAACAGTTGCTTAGAGTAGTAGGGGTAGTAAGGCTTATACTAGACGAAATATGAAACAGTATCATTATATAGATTTAGCATTTTTGTTCTAAAAAGATATTTGAGTAATCTGATATGTAATATATGATAGATCGTATTGTTATCTCATATAAAGTTTTTTAATCTCTGCTCTATCACTGTGATAAAAACACTTAGTCTTAGAAAATTAACAATATTTCAAAATTCAGAAGTTATTGATAATAAACGCAAGTTTATATATCCAGCCAATCAAAATTCTTATCTTTCTTCAAAAAAAGATAAATTACCAATTAAATAAAGTATTAATATATTTGAAATACAGGGTTTCATAGACAAGAAAATTAGTTATGAAAAATACAAATATAATAACATAATGGTACATACTGCTAAAGTAAATAACAAATTTTATCATAAGTTTGTGTGTGTAGAAACTTCACCATGGCGATAATTGAATTTGGATATCATAAATAAATATAATTAAAATTATAAATGAAAACTTTTTTTTCAAATTTGATAAAAATACAATTTTTTTTAGGAGGTTTCAAATATCCTTAAAATTAATCATTTTTTTTTTGTCTCTTCTTTTATATTTGTTTGAATATCTTTTTATAATATAAGTAATTAATAGTTATAAAGTAAGCAGTACTGAGTAATTGTTTTTTATTTGCAATAATCTGATTATCAAGATAATTAATGATGATTCTGCAATTTGACTAAAACTTTTCTCAATTGTAATTCATTTGGCATAAAATATGTAAATTTAGAACTTATTGTTCTTAACAAAAAATTGATTTCAAATTAGGTAAAAGCTGAAACTTAAATTATAACAAATCTGATGTAATACATTAAGAATATTTTTTTATTTTTTTTATTTATTTCATTAATAATTGTTTATTTTTCACAGTAGTGATACCTGACTAAACTCTTTTTTGAAAAATTGTAATTTTATCAAAAAGTTTTGTCTCTTTAATATTTTTATATGAATGAATATAAAATTATTATATTTTTTAATGTATTTTAATTCAAGGAATTTAGATTAAGTTAAATATAATTTCAGCAATTAAGTAAAATAATTTTGTAATAAAAAACTAGTTTCAATTTTTGTATTATTGATTAAAATTAATAATATACTTCAGTCATTCGACTTTTGATATTTTGACATATGGGAGCTTGTCAATAAAAAGGAAAGAAATCTAAAAAAAAAGTTTTTGAGTTAATCTTAAATCTGGACTTATTTTACTAAAAAAATTATATTTAGAATATGAAGTGAAATTTTAATTTTTTTTAGATTTCCTCCTTTTTTATTGACAATCTCCCATATTTCTTATTTAATTCGAAGAAAAAAATAAAAATAAAAAAAAAAATCATAAAGAATTAAGATAAGACCTCCAATCCAAATGTGAAGAAGCTATAAAGTAAAAAATAAAATACTGTACCATTCCAAAATTAGACAACCCCTGAAAATAAGCAACTATAAAATTAATATAAATCGAAAATAAGCAACCCTTAAATTTCTGTAATAAAAATAATAATAAAAAATATTAATAAAGATATTGTATTATAAAACTACTTTTATTATTATAAACATTATCATAAAATATAATTATTTATTAATATTAGTATTGCCATAATCATTAATATTACTATCGATATCATTATTGATCGTTATTAATACTGTCGATATCATTATCAACCAACATCAATAATATTATCATCAATATCTTTACTATCGGTAATTTTATTATCAGATTTATAAGTCTTAAAAGATCCTATAATCATTTCATCTGGAATTCCTTCCTAAGTATGTTTAACCCATCTACAAATATCAGATAATCTAGCATGATGAAGGTTTTTGATGTAGTTACTCCAGCACTACCTTTTGCCATCCAAATATGCTATTCCTTACGAAAATTATCTTTAAATAGCTTATTAATAGTTATATTAAGTGGTTGACATATACTGGTTAAATCACTTGAAATAACCACTAAATCAATATCAATATCGTAAAATTTGGTTTAACAAATTCTTCAAAATGTTCTCTGAAAGAATCATATACCATCATTGTTGGAGCGTTATTAATTCTTAGATTATCATTAATATAATTTACATATCTCTTCATTAAAATAGCATCCATCCATCCATTTTACTAAAATCAAGCAATAATACCAGATGGAATTTGTTCACTGTGTGATAGCTGTTTTCCTTTAAAAATGCAAATTAGTGGAAATTTTATATCATTTATAAGATAAACAATTAGATAAATAAGAAAGCAGATGAAAAAAATATTAAAAGATTCATACCTGCGTCATGTGTCAAAACAACTGTGAATCTGTTTTTCTTATTGCTAGTTTCACGAATGTAAATCATTTTTTCATCTATATTATCAATAGTAAAGTTTCCTACCATATCAAACCAAATAGGAGTTTGTCTATATTAAGAATATTAGATAATTCAAATATTTTTTCAGTTTTAAGGTGGAGGATAAACTAATAAAAGTTTTTTAACAATTTATCAGTTTATGATGAAAGCTTTTGTGAAATTTTAGTACACTAGCATTGAGAAAAATTATATCTTTTAATAAATGCAAACATCCAATAATTTGATGTTTTAAATTCATTTGTTAAATCTCTATAAAGACTTATCATAGAGGGTTCTTTTAAAATATTCAGTATCTTAACTTACGCAAATGCATATGAAATACCTAATTCCTGCTTTTTCTGCTCAATAATCTAATCATATAATTTTTTTCAGGTTCTGGGAAAAACATTTTCGACTAAAGCTAACTCGTTTGTTATTTTGGTTTGATATATTTATCCATTTTTCTTTTACCTTAACCCAGCGACTAATACTGCCTTTATCAATTTTAAAAGTACTTGCTACTCTAATTATTCTATTTTCTTTAGCATAAGTGACAACTTGTTTCTTTTGCTCAATAGAATATGAATTGCAACATTATTTTACTATTTTTTTATTAACAGTATTTGGATTTTTTTGCTTCTTTTTTGAAGCGGCATTTGTGTAAATTTTTAAACAAGTTTATCAATAAGTTCGTAATTTTATCACACGTGATTAATTTAATAGTGATTAACATTATATTACACAGGTGATCATTGCATAAAATGTATAATTTCTTTCATTTTCACATTTTAATTTTAAAATTTTTTATTTTTAAAAAATATCCGAAATTAAACAACCCAATAATAAAAAAAGGTTGTCTAATTTCGGAATGGTATGGTAAGATAAATTCAGAGAGAAAAAGAATATTATCTGATAATAAGAAATGGAAAAAAAACTTACCTATTCTTTCCTAAGTGATTCATTGAAAAAAATAACTATGAAAATAAGAAATAAAGTATTTATTATAATCAAATCTGAAAGTAAAAGAAAAAATGTTAAATTTAAAAATAACAGAACTAAAAAAACAAAAAAAAATATATCAGATACTTTTAAAATGATCCAAGTCGAAAGTAGTCGAAAGAGCAATAAAGAATATTTTTAAAATATTATTGAAAAAATATGGAAAATAATATTCTGATCCATTTAAACATTGCAAAAAAACAGAAAAGTAAAAAAAATGAAGTAAGTAAATCTAAATAAAAAAATATTTCATACTCAAAAATGCTTGAACCCAAAATATGTAATTTAAAAAAAAAAATAAAGAATGTTTAAGTTAATAAAATAATAATACCTTAAACCATAAAAATTTAATTACTTAATTAAAAAGTCATTTTTCCATAAAAAAATTCAATTAGGACCGATTAATATGAATTAAAAAATTGAATTTTAAAAATAGAAACTTGAGGTTTAGAAGTAAATTCGATAAAATACTACATAAGATAAGTGAGCATAAAATTACATTCTCAAAATTTTGTAAAACGTTAGAATTACACTGTTCAGTTCTCTTACTTCTAATAATTTGAACCATTTGAGTGGTATGCTATTAAAATTGAGGTATGGATAATATGATTTACTATGTCTCATACCTCAATTTTAATAGCATACCACCCATTTGTTTTATCTTATTACAAATAAATTGGTCACATTACAATATTAGATTACACAAAGTAATGAAATAAACAATTTGGGAAAGTTGGCTTTTTTTGATTAAATGCAACGAAGATATATTTTATTGAACCTGACAGAAAATAATTATAAATAACTTGACTTTTTTTAAAAAAATCTCTGCAATATTTTTATTTTGTTTTTAAAAAAATTAAAGACACTTGTAACTAGGGTTCCGCAATTCGATTTAATATTTGAATATTTGATTTGATTCGAATCAATAGTAAAGCCATCTTCAAAGCATCAGGAGTGATTCTTATTAAGAAAACAATAGTAAAAAGTGCCTCTACA